CAGACACACACGCGCGAGCGCACGGACGCGCGCACGCACGCACGCACGCACTCACGCACGCACGCACACACGCACGCACACACGCACACACGCACACATACATACACACACACACTCACCCACACACACACACACACACACGCGCGCGCGCACACGCACGCGCGCGCGCACGGACGCGTGCGCGCACGCACGCACGCACGCACGCACGCACGCTCTCACACACACACACAAACACACACACACACACACGCACGCACGCTCGCACACACACACACACACACACACGCACACACACACACACGCACACACACACACACACGCACACACACACACAAAACAAAAACACACACACACACACACGCACTTGCGCTCGCGCACGGACGCGCGCACGCACGCACGCACGCACGCACGCACATTCACCCACCCACACGCGCGCGCGCGCGCACGGACGCGCGTGCACGCACGCACGCACGCACATTCACCCACCCACACACGCACACAAACACCACATTTGCACTCTCCTAATGTTTTGCCCCCCGCTCCTAATTCCTTCCACCTGCTCTTCATTGTGTCCGCTCCCGCACCCCTTATTATGTTCCCTGTCTTCATTTCCTGTCCCCGCTCTTTTTTCCTGCCCCCGTATACACCTCATCCCCTCCCCCCCACCCACACACACCACACATGTCTCTTCCCACTCTCCTTATGTTTCGCCCCCTCCCTCCCACCTACCTTCATATTTCCCCCAGCGCACCTGGGATTGCATTCCCCTGCGCCCCTCATCTCCTGCCCCCTACCCTTTGTTTTCTGCCCCACGGCCCACCAGCTCCTTGACCCCTCCGCCACACTTGTGCCTCTGTCTCCCCACGCCCCGAGACGCAGGACGGCTCGGGCCAGTGGATCTGGACTTGAGCGGCGCAGTGGACTTTGAGCTCGGGATGAAGGTGAGGACCACTTCCAGGGATGCGCTGCTGGTCGGTAAGGTCCATCGGCGCTGGGAGATGGCAGCGAATACGGGTAAGGCTAAAGCATTGGTGATCAAGAGTGGCGTCCTCGCGTGGCAGGTTGGCGATGATTGCATCGTGGGGAAGACAAATATCGCTGATGGTATGCAGCATGAGGTCTCGGTCCTGTACAAGGCGGACCAGGGCATGTACATACTCAGGGTCGACGGCAAAGTGGAAGCCAGGGGGCTAAGCAGCGTCCCAGACAATCCAGACACCAACCTCGTCCTTGGCACCGCGAGCGCGCCAAGAGACGACACGTTCAACGAACTCTACGCAGTTTTTGAAGACTTGCGCAGCCTCGGCGTCGGGGTGCTTCAGCTGGAGGAGCGGAGAGAGGAGCCTCTGTTCGAAGGTGATATCGACCAGCTCACCTGGAAAGAGCTGCAGTGGAACAAGAGTCGTCGCAAAAAGGCTTGGGTTGCGTATGACCTGCACATCGGCACTATGGAATCGACGAGGCAGAGAACTTCGAATCCGACGGCCAGCACCAAAAGTCAGTCTGGGTCAGAAGCGCGGTCGGCCCTCAGCACGTCCTCACAGGCGTTCCACAAGGGCCAGGATGTGGAGTACTGGTCGAAGACCATGCAGGCATGGCTTCCGGCCAAGATCGTCGATTCCAGGGAGAAGTACTTCGATAACAACCTCAGGTTCGACGTGTTCGACTACGACGTCTATGTGGGCACTGCCGAGCAGACTGTGCCTGGCGTGGAGATAAAGGACTTGCGCATTCCGTTCGTGGAAGGCGACGCAGTGAGTGTCTATTCCCACAGACATGGGCGGTGGTTCCCTGCCCGGATACACAGATCGAGGGACGGTGATCCGAAGCAAGGGTACGATGTCACCCTGGAGGATGAACTCGCCGACGACCAGGAAACGTATGTCAAATCGGCTTTGCAAAGAGACCTGGAGAAGCACAGGAGAGAGAGAGGAAGCGGGAGCTGGGCCGGATCGGGCTCTGGCGACGCGCCCGCGCCCATACTGAAGAACCTGCCGGCCAAGCGCCTGAGGAGGCGCTACAACGGGGGCGACCGCGTCCGTCTCTACAAGGGTGCCGACGCAGGCTTCGTCCCTGCCGAGGTGGTTCGTGAAGAGGCGGAGGATGAGCCACGCCCCGGGCGAGGATCCCCCAGCCCCAGCAGGGCCGCCCGCGGCGGGAGCCCGAGCCCCGCGGGGGGGCGCGGGAGGTCTCCGGGTGCAGAGCCTCCCGCCCGCGGGAGGTCGCTCAGCTCGGGGAGCGGCGGCGGGGGCGCACGGCGCGACGCCGGCGATCGGCGTTTCGCGATGGTCCTCGTGAGGGTCACGGACTCCGAGCGCGATACCATGGCCACGGTGTCGGAGTGCCTGCTGCGCCCGGGGCCAGCGTCGACTACTCCCAGCGTGGGTCGGGACGCCGATTCGCGAGGGTCGCCTGTGCGGCCTGGACTTGGCGGCGGAAGAGCTGGAAGAGGCACTTTCGCTGTCTGAATCAATGGCACCGTGCCTGCACAACACATCGTCTAAAGCAGCCCCGCTGGCTGGAGGCGCGTGTCCGCCATGGCACAAAACATGGCAGGTCGCCGTCTGAAGAGTGTCAGATCGCACGGCCGCTTGATACAGGTCAGTGGCCGTCCTCCAAAATGTCGGCATTGAGGATACGCGGGTCAGCACGAAGTTGCTGGCTTGGAGTGGGTTGTCACAAGGGCTGCACGTATGAAGCAGCATATTCTGCCGACCGCATGTTCCTATGACGCACAATCTCGTAGGACTCCCCAGGCGCCCGCGCTGGCGGTGCGAGCCCGAATGTCCCGCCAGGCTGCTCTCGAGAGGATCTGCAGGCGAGCCCTCACTTTTGCACAATTCATCAAGTAAGCACGTACAGTCGGACTAAGATATAAGATCGAGGGCGGTTCGGGGAGGCTGCCCCAGTGTTCTCCGTGATTGTTGGGCGTTCTTGTGCATCCTGGGGAGGGTACCCTTGATGTTCTGTGTGTTTTGGCCGACGGAGGGTCTTATGTTCTTGAGGTATGTTCTTCTGGCCTAGGTCCGACTGTATTTCGCTGATTGCTAGGCCGTGGGGTATCCTCGGCTGGTGCCGCTAGCGCTCACGCGCGCGTGTGGCTGCACGGGCGTAGAATTTTCGTCCGTGTGGTGCGCGTATTCTTGTGGCATCTCGGACACCTTCAGGGCGTCAGGAGGAGGACGTAGGCAAGGAGGATGGGTCAGGGGCAACGATCGGGGGGATAGGCATCGGGGGGACGCATCGACCCCCAATCGCCAATTCATCTCCGATAAGGGCCCGATAGCCCTAACCTGCCCAGGAACGTGCGGGTTAGCCATCGGTGGCCTATCGCCGATCTGTCGGCGATGTATCGTCGATTTCAGGTCGACGTTTCCCCCCTTATGCTAGCCCCTTTATCGTTGTCTCTCCGCTGGGTGGGGGGGAGGCCTGCGTCCGCTGCCGCCTGCCCCCCTGCCGCGTGCATCAAGGGGCCCTCGTCGCCGTCGTCGTCCTCCTCCTCCCCCTCCTCCTCCTCGTCCTCCTCCTCCTCCTCCTCCTCAGGCTCCGCCCCAGCGCTGGCCCCCCCTTCTCGCGGAGTCTCGTCCGAAGAACACAGGCCGCGATGGGGGCTGCCGCACCCGCGGAGGCATGAGGGCTGCCAGAGTGCCGCCCCTCGCGCGGAGGGGCAGGCGGGCGCTCCCAGTGCTCTGGCTGCAGGCACTGCTGCTGCTGGGAGGGGCGCGCCCATGCGAGGGACGCTTCACGTTCCTCTCGGTGTGGAACCCCCAGAACCTCCTGTCGCCCGCCCGCTTGGATGAAGTGTCGCGGGCACTGGCTGGCGTGGGAATCATCGGCCTCCCTGGCACCTGTGTGCGACAGTGGTGGAACGAACCTCACCACAAGGCGACGGCAGTGGCCCACCACGTAGTGCATTTTGGGTGGCAGCGCTCCAGGCTCGTCAACAAGAGCTGTGGATGCGCACTGATGTTGGCCAAGAAGTACTTCGGAGTGAACGATATTCGGCGGCTGGTCACCCCGCCTGTGGGCTTCCGCGGGCGAGGCGGACTGGCCTACATCGCCTCAGGCCCGCTGCTACTCGCCGTGTTCGTGCTCTACTTCCCCCCGCGGCCAGCGGCTAAGGGGGAGGCGCCCATCTGGCGCGACACCTGCAGGGCGCTGGTGGCTTGGGCGCGGGATGAACTCCTTCGTGTACCACAGCGATATACTCCTGTATTGCTCATGGACCTCAACTCGGGCCTGACCCCGCACTTCGACGAGGATCCCGTGGTCGGCCAGATCGGGGCAGCGACCGAAAGCCTTGCGGGCAAGCTGGTCCATGAGTGGCTGGCGGGGGCACGTATGCAGGCGATCAACACCACGAAGCAGGTGGGCAACACGTACTTCGGCATAGGCGGAGTGCCCTCGCATATCGACTACATTTGCGTGCCTCAGAGTGCGGGAGTACTAGTGGAATGGACGAAGGCGTGGCACCGTACGGCGGAGGCCATCCGAGCGTCCCCTGCGATCCTAGACCACGTCCCCGTGGTCATCAAGATACGGATCGTGCCGCCCTTGAACCAGCTACCGCTACGAGAGCGCTGGGACCGCCCACGTTTGTCAGGAGCAGTCATGTCGGGCAGTGGACGAGAACAGTTTATGACCGACCTACACGAGGCTTTCTCGGAGATTGGCCCATCGCTCGACGTGCTGGAGACGAGAGAAGCGACTACTGGCCACGCCACGCTGGTCATGGGCACTATCCGCAAGATCGGGCTGGCGCACTTCTCTCAGGCCACGGTGCGCCCACTGTACGAGAGGAAGCTGGACGAGAAGAAGTGGCAGCTGCTCCGCGAGAGGCGTACCATCCTGGAGGAGGTAAAGGCCCAGGAGTTCGAGGCCATTCAGAGCAGCTCTCCTCCAGCGACCTTATCGACGGCAACGGGCCTTGCTGGTGGCCCCTCCTCGTCCCTACCTTGCGCTGGATCGGTCGAATCACTCGTATCAGAACGCAACATGTGGAGCAGAGGCCCAGGTGTCCTACCCCGTCGTGGTGTTGAGGAGCCAGACCTGCCTCGCGAGAGGGTCGCCGAGCTGCGGACGCTCGGCAGCGCGATCAAGAGCTACACGAATGCCCTCCAGCACTGGCGACGCCGCAGAGCCCACGAGCGCCAGACGTTCATTGAAGACGAACTCAGACAAGCATGGAGAGGCCGTGACATGGCCCAGGTCCCTCGGCTTGCCCGCTCGCTGGCACGCACGGGCATCGGTGTGAAGAACCGAAACTACAGAGCGCACGCCTCGTGCAACCCGACGTGCGACGAGTGGTCCACCTTCCTTGCGCAGGGCCCGCTCCAGGGCGGCTTGGCAGCTACTCGCACGACCGTCCCTCTTTGCCACAACTTGAAGCCCGACAGGCTCACGGACCTGGGCAACACATCGGACTACGCCTTCCCCGGTACGGTACACATGCCCGAGGAGGATGTTCGTGGGGGCCAGTCGGACTTCAAGATGACAATCAAGGCCCTTCGCCGCACGATGATTGGCAAGTTTGCGCCGTCCTGGTCTGCTCCCTCGGAGATTTTCAAGGTGATCGTGGACCCAGGATGGCTCAGCAATCCGACCTTGTATGCCCGTCTGCCCTCGGGAGTGGGAGCTCGACGACCGCTGGTGATGGAAGAAGAACCTCGAGCGCCTGACCCCTATGCGCGCCTGCAGCTTCGCCACCTGGAGGCATTGGGAGAAGGGCGTCGTCGCCTGCACCGCCTCGTGCTGCACGTACGACGCATTGGGCTCTTACCAGTACAGGCGCCCCTTTCGTATGGATTTGCCCCAGATAAGCGAAATTGGAAAACAGGAGCTGCAGGCAGACGGCTGGTGCATGTCTTGTGCCCTTTCTGGAGAGCAGTAATGAGGGGAGGACTTCTTCGTGGGAGCACCTTCCGACCGCCAGCATGGGCGTTCGCGGCTCGGGGAAGACGAAGGGGGCATTTGATGATGGCGACGAGGATCGTGGCGTGGAAGGGGCACCACTCAGGACATTACATGCCCCACAAGGGCTACGACGCCACGAACGCGTTCGGGCGCGGCCGCAAGGAGGACCTAGAGCGCTCCGTCAGGCACCGACTGGAGGAGGAGGAGGAGATCAAGGACGAAGACCTCAACTACGTGACGGCGATCTCCCGTCAGAGACGTTTGGCGCTCACCGTGGTCATCCCAGCTGCAGACGGCGAGGTGGCCCTGAAGAGCGGATAAGGAGGATTCATGGGGGACACATCGGAGCCAGAGGTTTTCATGAGTAACTACCACACCGCAGTGACGAAGTGGGCCGAATTTGAGACGGCCCGATCTAACGGCGAGATGCTCATCAGGATGCAGAACCTGCCCGAGGTCGACGCAAGCCTGGGATGTTTCATGGACGACATCTTCAAGACTCAGCTTCTGTCGGGGCCCCAGTCAGCGGCGGAGGTGATCCGCCTCTCGCTGCGTAGCGACCAGGGGTTGGACCAGGCCCTTGCGGAGAGAGCCTACGGCCAGAACAGGGCCAAGCAGGGCGTGGTGCCAGCTTTTCCCTCGAGGCAGCTGGTACGTCGTACGATCACGGAGCTGAATCGCAGCGGCTGCCGCAGCAGCTACGAGCTGAAGCACCTGGGCGCATGGTTCAACGCGGTGAACAGCAACAGCAACGAGCTCAAGGCACGGCTGGCGGCGATCACGAAAGGCTGGATGATGGTGCAGGGGTTCTGGTATTCGTCGTCGCCATTACGAGTCAAGAGATTGATGTTCATATCCCTGGTGAGCGGTGCGGCCCTCTCGGGCACGGTGGCCTTCTGCTGGGCGGCCGCGGAGACCAGGCAGTTGTGTGGTGCATTGGCGTGCAAGCTACGTTCTATGATGGGAGGCACGGCCAAAGCGGGACCATCGCATATCACGACGCTTACCACACGTGAGGTATATAGGCATTGGAATCTCGTGCCCTTTGCATTGGAGGCAACCGTTCAAAGGCTGAAGGCATGGCAGGCGATTGCTAGAGCGCCTCGGAACCATGCCCACCTGCTGGCCATCTTTTATGGCGAGATGCAGTGGGAGGCCACCAGCGCCTACCGCTGCCCACCGACGCTGCTAGAGGACGGCCGCTTCAACGACACGACGCTGATCCACCCTTGGGCGCGTCAGCTCCGACAGGACTTGGAGGTGATGTGCAGCGCACCTGAAGCGGAGTCATTCGCTGAGGTGTGGGGGTTTGGCTCTGTGCTGGACCTGCTGTGGGACGAGGAGGTGAACTACCTCTTCACCTGTTTTGATCCGCGGTGCCTGCGCAGCGCCTTTGCTGCAGTACAGTGGGCACCGCCACCTTGCCTGGCGGACGCTGTGCCAGCCGCCCAGGACGATCCGCTGACTTGGGAAAAAGGAGAAGCGGACGTCTTTGTTTGCACGATCAGAGCCGGCCCAGATGACCCGGTATGTGGACAGAGTTTTCGCACGCGTG